GGACAAAAAAGAAATAAAAAACAATTAAAATGGACCAGCGGTGCAAATAGTAATCAGGCAAGGCAAAACAATTGGGCTCCCTCAAGAGAGGGGTGAAAACAGCAAGCGAGGCCCAAAACCAAACTCAAAGCAGCAGCAACAAAACGCTGCGCTTCACTAAATGACTTAGCCGGTCAAAGCACACGCGTGCCAGTCAGAACTCATCTCGTCCGTTGATCCTGTTCAGTCAAACGCACCACATGGCATCCACGCAAGCAAAACGGACAAGCGAACCAGACGACGAAGCACTGTTCTCCGGTCATACCACCAGAGCTGCAAATCAAAAAACATCACCAAAACGTGTGAAACCTTATACCAAAATGATCGCCACGTTATGTAGATCATGAATCTACACTCCAATTTCATTTATCATATAAGAATAAATCAAATCGAACAAAATAAAATTCACATGCTCAACTGAAATGTCAACAAACATCACCAATTATGATCCAGATTTTGCCTACACGTGTAGGTCTTCAGTTTACAACAACAATGACATGGAATGGATGCATATTGAGTGAGAAATTTGGAAAAGAAAAATACCTAACGGAGCCTCTCCGTTGGGGCTTCTATGGATGCTTTGCTTGCTCAAAAAGATGCAGATCCACTCAATGAAGATCAAGGAAGATGCAGCTTGCTTTAATTTGAGTTGAAATGGCCTCAATTTTGATTCACGATTTTCACTTCTCTCTTAAATTTTCCAACTATGCTCTGCTCAATTCTCCACCAAAATGCACGAATGAGAGCTCCAATTCAATCTGAAGCTTTTATATGATGGATATGGAATGGTTTGGAGGCCCAATTGTGGCTGATTAGAGTGTAATTCAAAAATGCCGAAATTGGAAATGGGAGCTTCATGCACACGTGAATTCCCTCCAATTTTCCTTGATTTTGATTCAAATCAGTTGCTGGGAGTATGTAATGATCATGTGGATGAGAATTGATCCTTAATTTGATCCAAGGGTGGAGATTGAATGTGAAACTTCTTCTTGAAGTTACTTGCATTTTCACGTGTGTTTTTCATCATGGACCAAAACAAACTTATGCATCCTTCTTGTTGTGATATTGTGACTCAAAATAAGCACAAACATGACATGAAAATGAATTAAAACCAATTCAATTTAATTCATGACTTTAAGTTCAAATTTCCATTGAATTTCTTCACCAATCTTCATATCCATGCCAAATCCATGACAATTTGATGTTCAAGGATGAAATTGATACCATTTGAAGCAATTTTCATGTTGGGAAAAGTTTCATTTGAAGTGCACAAGTGGATGAGCTTCACAACATCTCATATCCATATTCATGAAATTGTGATCCTCAGATGATTCTCATTGGCCTCCAAGATAAGAGATAAGCAATATACATCCACTCACTTTCTCAAAGAGCTATGACTAGCTTCTGATGACTTGATGAGCACTTAAACATGCTTGGAACCCTTGAAAAACCTTCTCTTGCTATGCACACCTCTTGATCCCCTGTAAATGAACAATGATATGCAATGCAAATGCTAGAACAATGCAATGAAAACATAAGCCAAGTAAAGAAAAGGCTGGGCAAATTTTGGGGTACAACAGCCTTTAGCAAACAATTTTAGCCAAAACACAAATATTTCAAGAGGTTCTTGTAGAGTACTACAGATACTTAGGGTGTTAGTACCTTACCTTAGTATAACCAACCCCCGTACATTTGATCTCTCTTTTGCTTAGCTTTAGGTCTTGCTTTTTGCTTTGCATTTTCACTCATGGTTTTTGTTCGATCTTTTCTCCCTTCCCTTGGATAAAATAAAAGTTCAAATATCTTATTTTTGCGAGCCAAGCTGATCTCGTAGCTTTGGTATCCGATTCTCACCGCGACAGGGTGTCTATATTTCTTGTAAAGCTAGTATAAACTTAGCATTAATCGAGTAAGACATGATTTTTCTACAGTCTAAAATCGGTGAGCTCAATATAAGGTTCAAGCAAAACGTTAGGGGTAACATATTCGTGTTGACGAATACAAAACCTAGATGGATCCTTAAAAAATGTTGTAAAGTTATTTTTTAATGATTTGTTAAAAAAATATAACATATAATAGTTAATTAAACACTTACATAAGGTCGTGTGTGAGGTATCAAAAAACTTCACATGCAAAAAATCATTGATTATACCATAGATCATACTGATGCGAGAATGTATGTCATTCATTGTCGTAATATGCTATGCAAATTTTGACTGGCTGGTAACGTCTTAGAGAAAGAGGAGTGATTCATGGGAGATAAGTTCTATACATCCGCCTCATACTTGCACCACCACTAATATTTCATAAGACCACCGTAAATTAAACTCTGAACTGATATTTCAAGACATTTTTCCTCTTGTTAGCAATGACATGTCATTGAAGGTGAGTATAATAATCTCTTATATTGTTACATGATATAATTATACTCCCTCGTACAAAAATTGTGGGTTGCAAAAAAAAAAATTGTTGAACGAGTATATGGAAATTAGGAGGATTCGTACAAAGAACTTCTAAATTATTTGGTGGCGCTTAATATGTATGCTTTGGTAACTGTTAAAACTTTGAAGACATTATTGGCATATACGCCGAACAGAACTTCTATTAGTGGAAATAAAATATTTCATAGACTCTTTTGGGCGCTTCAACCATGCATCAAGGGTTTTGCGTTCTGCAAACCAATTCTTCAAATTGATGGAACATGGTTTTACGGGAAATACATTGACACATTACTTATGACAGTGGCACAATACACAACAGTAGTGTTGTACCCCAAATTTGACCACCATTCTTTTCTTTTCTTTTTTTACTTTTTTTATCGCTTATACAAATAAAAAATAGTGATAATAAGTAGTTTATTTTTAATTTTCTCTTTTTAAAATTAAATACTATTTCTATGCATCTATAAAAAAAGGGAAAGGGAAATAAAAAATATAATATATGTATCATTTGTAAGAAGAGTGCAAATTAATAATCAAGTTTTAATTAGGATATTACTCTTGGGATGTGAGGTCATTTTGAGTGAACATAATAGTCTATTTGGTTGAGGAGTAGGCTTGGCGATTGTAAGAGAGAGTGATGAGTTTAAATCCTACCTCCTTCGAAAGATTAATAATTTTGCTCACTGGGATAGACCTCGATCTTGTAGGTTGGTTTTCTCGTATTGTCTCACTGATAAGATTGATGGATGTCTGAGTTCAAATCCTACCTCCTTCGAAAGATCAATAATTTTGCTCACCGGGATATACCTCGATCCCGTAGGTTGATTTTCTCGTATTGCTCACTTATAAGATTGATGGATGTCTGATACTTATCTAAGATTTCATTTTATTTTTTGTCTATTAGGGATGCCATTGATAGAGTTTAGAGTATTTTTGATATCATTTGTCAATCCTTATTAGTTTATATGATTTAGCTGTTTTGTTAATCATGTTCAATTTTAGATGTTATGTTATATTTATAAAATTGCAACCAAAAAAAATAATAATAACAAAGAAAGAAGATCCTTATTTTTTATTACATAAACAATAACAAAATTTATCTAAAAGAAAAAGGGAAAATCTTAATACATAAATCTTATTCATTGAAATAGAAAATCTGAGAAAAAAAACTCAATATTACACAACTATGTTTGATATACCGTATCAATAATATGCATCTCATAAACCTTATCATCAAAACAAAATAATAACATACTCAAAACTATACAAAATATTTAAAAAAAACAATATTAAGTATAAAAAAATACAAAAAGATATAATTATGATTTAATTAACATAATGATGGAATTAATAAAAATAATAAGATAATCCAAATAAAAATGAGATAAAAATGCAATATAATTGGAGGATTTTAAATAGGGGTTAGGGTTAAGTTCACAATTTCACATAACAATGGATTTATACAAAAATATAAAAATAATAATTAGGATTGCAATTTTAAATAATTAAAATATTTTAATTAATTTTAATTAGGAGTTAAGGGATTAATTAGGATTTAGTAGTTTAGGGATTGATAATATTAAAATACTCTAATTATTAAGTTAGGATTTAATATATTAAAACTTACGGATTAATAGGGATAAGCTAGTATTTTCTTAAATTTTGGGGTTTTATTAATTTTATAATAAATTTGAATTATTTATAATTTTGGGGTTTATTTAACTTATTTTTATGATTAAATAATGAGAGTTTATAATCTTGGGTGCATAAAAATAAATATGGATTTATTTATTTCATAAAAGGGAATTTATTCATTTGAGTTTATTTATAATAATTCATACTTAATTTATATTTGTGGATATTATAATTTAACTGTTTTTACTATTAATATCTTTGAGTTTAACTTATAATTTTTTGTTTTATAATTTTTTTTACAATTAATATTTTTGGGTTTAACTTATAATTTTGAATTTATAATCGAATTGTTTTTACGATTAATATCTTTGGGTTTAACTTATAATTTTGGGTTTATTATAAAATTTTGGGTTTAATTTATAATTTAGGGTCTATAATAATAAATTGGGGTTTATTTATATAAATCTGGATTTAATTTATAACTTGGGGTTATTATAATCTTTATAATTAATAAATTTGCGGTTGATTTAAAATTGTGATCTATTTTTTTTTATAATTAATATTTATGGATTTATTATAATAATTAAATATTTGGAGTTTTGTTTTATTTATTTTACTTTGATAATTAAATAATTGGAGTTTAACTTGGTTAATTAATTTTATAATTAAATTTATTTAATTAATTTTTATAATTGACTAAATTAGTATTTCTATGCTGCTATCAAGGTCAGACATCATTCCAATTGTCTGAACAACCTGAAGAAGAGAGATAGCAGTCAGACCACATCCAAATCAGACATTGAAGAGGAGGTGCTTAATTTCTACAACAACTTAATAGGCAAGGATGCTGAAAACATCAATCATATTGATATTGAGGCCACGAGGATGGGGAAACAACTTGACATTCACCAAAGGGAATACCTTATCAGACTTATATCAGAAAATGACATTACTAAAGCTCTTAAGGGAATTGGAGACCTCAAAGCACCAGGCTTGGATGGATTTGGAGCCAAGTTTTTTAAAAGCAGCTGGACAACTATAAGAGAAGATGTGGTAGCAGCTATTAAGGAATACTTTGAAACAGGAAAAATCTACAAAGCTTTCAACAATGTTGTAGTGTCCTTGACTCCTAAAGGACAAAGTGCTTCTGAAATCCAAGATTACAGACCTATAACTATCTGCACCACTTTCTACAAGATTATTTCAAAGATTCTGACCAACAGATTAGGAGCTGTCATTCCTAGTGTGGTAAACCATAATCAAGCAGCTTTCGTACCTGGTCAGAACATCCATCAGCACATCATGCTTGCTACTGAATTGCTTAAGGGTTATAACAGGAAAGGAGGCACACCTAGAATCATGATTCAATTAGATCTGCAAAAAGCTTATGATATGGTTAATTGGAAGGCTTTAGAGTGCATCATGAAGGAGATGGGATTCCCTAACAAATTCATTCATTGGATTATGCTGGGCATCACCACTGTATCTTATAGATTTAACATCATGGGAGAGTACACTGATATTTTGCAGGCCAAAAGGGGAATTCGCCAGGGTGATCCTCTATCACCTATGCTATTTGTTCTCATAATGGAGTATATGAACAGATTGTTGATGAAAATGCAAAGAGACCCTAATTTTAACTACCATGCCAAATGCGAAAAGTTGAAAATCACCAACCTTACCTTTGCAGATGATGTTCTATTATTCTGCAGAGGTGATGAGATCTCTTTACATATGATTCTTCAAACTTTCAGGGCCTTCTCCATTTCCACGGGGTTAATTATGAATCCTAACAAATGTAGGATTTATTTTAGAGGTCTAGACAAAGAGAAGAGAAAGGTTCTGAAAGAGATGTCTGATTTTCAAGAAGGTACGCTTCCATTCCGATATCTCGGTATACCTCTGGTTGGCAGGAAACTAAACATCACTCATTTTATGCCCTTGGTGGATAGAATAGTGGCTAGAATCCACCATTGGTCTTCAAAGCTTTTAAGTTATGCCAGCAGAATTCAATTGGTGAAAAGTATAACAACTGCAATGGTTCAATACTGGTTGCACTGTCTTCCTATGCCCAAAACCGTGATCAAGAAGATTGACTCTATCTGTCGCAGTTTCATCTGGACCGGCAAAGATACAGTGAGCAGAAAGTGTCCCGTGGCTTGGAAACACATGAGCTGTCCTACTGCTCAAGGTGGTTTGAACCTGATAAATCTGCAGATTTGGAACAATGTCCTACTCTTAAAATGCTTATGGAATCTGTGCAAAAAATATGATACTCTGTGGGTGAAATGAATCCATATTCATTAATTTAAAGACAAACAAATCATGAATTATGAAATCAAAATTTAAAGCTCTTGGATCATGCGCAACATTTTGAAACAAAGGGATAACATGGATCTCATTAGGAATGAATGGGATCAACTTCTGATTTCACATAAGTTTAAGGCGTCGGTTTTTTACAAGGTTCTGATTGATGACGACACAAGAGTGCCTTGGAGAAACTTAATTAGATCCAATAAGAGTCGACCGCGAGCAGGTTTTTTTCTATGGCAGGCTTGCCATGGAAAACTTGCAACCAAGGATAGATTAAAGCGTTTTGGCATGATTCAAGACAGCCAGTGCAGTTTATGTCATACCGAGGAAGAGACGATAAACCATCTATTTTTCTGCTATCAAGGGACTAGACACATTTGGAAGAAAGTGCTCCATTGGTTTAACATAGTTCATACACCTCAACCTTGGGATGCCGAGTTGATCTGGATAACTATCATGACTAAAGGTAATGGCTGGAAAATGGATATTTTCAAAATGTTAGTGGCTGAAACCATCAACTGCATCTGGGGATATCGTAATAGTACTACTTTTGGTAAACCTGTAGATATTATAACCGTGGCTACTAACATTATAGATAACGTGACCTATAGAGGGTGACAAAACCTTAAAATTAGGAAGCATCTTGTTAGTTATATGATGTAAAATGATCTTTTTTTGTTGGGTTGGATCCTACGGGATCACCTCTTTTGTACTTCCTTTTCGAATTAATATATTCTTCTTTTAATTAAAAAAAAAGGGGTAAATTAAAATTTAAAGTAACTTTCTCTTTATTTAAGAGTTCCTCTTAGGGGTAATATTGAGATAATAAGGGATAAAATAGGAATAAAATAGGAATAGAAACTTGGGGATAGAACTCTTAAGATCCAAGAGTATAAATATAGGATTAAGAATAAGGGATACTAAAATAAGGGTTTTTTTTTATATATAATTTAAAATATTATATAATCAATTTATTTTCTAAATAAAGTTATAGGGATATTTTCTATAATAAAATAAATGGGATATTAAGGATAGAAATGAAATAAAGTCTTGAGATAAAACTCTTAAGATCCGAGAGTATAAACTTTAAATTAGGGATAAGGGATATTAAATTTGGGGTTTCTTTATATAATTTTATATTATATAATTAATTTATTTTGTTAAATAAATTAAAAAGGGACATTTTCACAATAAAATGGAATAAATCAAGGGATATTTAATTGAGAAATTTTTTTGGGATAAAACTCTTAAGATCCAAGCGTATAAGCATAGGACTAGGGATAAAGGATAGGGGTTTTATAATAAATATCATATCATTTTTTTAATCAAACCTAAAGGGATATTTTCATAAGTTCAAAGGGATAAAGGGATAAAAAACATCTAACTCATATTTTTTCATGGAATAGAATTGGGATAAAAAACTTGGGGATAGAACTCTAAAAATTCAATATCATAAATAAAGGATTAGGGATAGGTGATACTTACAACTTAAACACAAAGGTTAAGTTATAAAAAACACCAACCAAACAGGGGATAAGGGAGGTGAACTACGGAAACCCTGATCCTTCAAATTTGAGAGTACGTAGGCATAAGGTTGTAAATCCTAACGAGTACAATAATAATAATAATAATAAAACTTAGGATCCCCATTCATTAAATAAATTCTCTTGTAAATAATCAATTTTTTTCTAAAATAATTAATAATCAGACATTCCCAATAGCAAGCAAACATGCTCTAGAACTTAAGGAGGATCTCATTGAGTACAATGAAAGTAAGAGGTGCCTAACACCTACCTCCCGCTTAACCATTTCTGAACTTAGCGTCTCATCCTTAAGGATTAAGTTTTCTCACTATTTTCCTATCATTAGAACAAATAAAGTATGATGGCGACTCTATCATTTTTCTGGCCGCGACAAGTAGCATCTTTCCGGTTGTTTTTGCTCTGGTTGAAGGTGATACTTTTGGTAGTTAGAGTTTCTTTCTCAAGAATCTCAGAGCATATGTTGGTCCACAACACAACCTCTATTTAAATTCCAACAGACACGCATCTATTGAGAGTGCGTCCAACAATCCTGACAACGGATGGCAAAATCCTCCTTCTAACCATGACTACTGCATTAGACATATTGAACAAACTTTCATGCGGGAAATCAAAGATAAGAACATTTAGAAAAACGTTATGAATATAGAGTATGCTTTAACTCAATCATCGTTCTAAAACTATAATGAGGAAATTAGATTGTCAAATGCGAAATCATTATATTGGATGGATAATATTCCATTGAAGAAGTGGAAATAGCATTTTACGAAGGATAACGATGGGGTCACATAACAACAATCCTTGTTGAATTCATGAACAATGTCTTTAAGGGCATTAGAAACCTACCAATAATAGCGTTGGTGAGAGCAACCGATTTTAGATCAGGATCACTTTTTGCAACTAGAGGTGGAAAATGGAGTTCAGTGTTACAGGGCAATTATTTAGTGAAAGTTGCATGAAATTGATGAAGGAGAAAACTCTAAAAGCTAGCACAAATCCCATTACAATCTTTGATAGTCATAAATACACTTTTAATGTAAAGGAAACACAGGACTACAACAATGCTCATATGGCTAGGTCAAAATTAAGGAATTCTCATTGAAAAGCAAACATTAAAATTAATAAGAAAAGATGATTTTGTATTTTTTTTTTAAATTTTAGATACTTCGTCTATTTATTTTAGAAATATAAGAGTTATATAAGAATATTATAACTATTTCAAAAATACTCTAGTTATAAAAAGAATTATAACAATATAATCTCTAAAATTGTCCTATGTTTTGCCATTTGTTTTTTTTTTTAAATCAAACTAAAATTTATTGATATATTCAAAAATAATACAAGCATTGTCTATACAAAGATTCAGCACAAACAAGAATTGAAGGAAATCAAAACTCTTTGTCCAACCTTTCATATAATAACACTGGAGGGATCAAATCTAAAGGTTATCAGACTTTACATTTAGGTTTCACATTAATTTTTATATGTTAGCTCTATCCCATTTTTTCAAACACAATATTCCGTCTTTGGGGTTTTATATTTTCTTTCAACTAATGGGTGATTTTCTTGAGATAATCTACTTGGCAGAGTATAAAAAAGACATGCATATATATTCAACTCTTTTTGTCACCTACTTCAGAATGGGAAGGCATTGCATAGCAGAGTATAAAAAAGACATGTATATATATTCCACTCTTTTTGTCACCTACTTCAGAATAGGAAGGCATTGCATCCAGAACTTTTTACCTGCAAAGCTCATCAACTTTGCACTCCAATGCTTGATTTTAGACGCAATCTTATCAACCAAAATAAGGCGACAACTTTTTACTTCTTAAGGATATTCCCAAATATCTAAAGAATATGGACCTTCGAAAAAGAAGTAATGGCTAATCTCCTTCTTAGTATTGTTCCCACCTTGATAAAGTACACCTTACATTTGACAGGGTGATAGAAGCACAGTAGTAACATTTGTTTTATTTTTAAAAAATAACTTTCTTTTACATGTATTTTAAAAAATAAGACTTATAAAAATGTTTTAAAATATTCAAAAAAAAATTAAATTCATTTTTTTATAAATTGAAAGACTAGTTTCTATATTATATATATATATATATATATATATATATATATATATATATATATATATATATATATATATATATATATATATATATATATATATATATATATATATATATATATATATATATATATATATATATATATATATATATATATATATATATATATATATATATATATATATATATATATATATATATATATATATATATATATATATATATATATTTATAATTGAAAATTAAATTCCAAATTTTCAAAAAGATGTATTTCAAAATTATTTTTTTATTATTTAAAATAACTTCAAATTTAACTGATTATTTAAAATGAATTTTTTTAAAATTAAATAAATATAATATTTTTATATTTATAAATGTTCTACAGACTATAATAGTTTACACGTGTTGGACTCATTTTTAAAACACATTTTAAATAAATATTAAATTTATACAATTTTTTTATAAAATAATATTGACTTGTATGTTTAAACCTAAAAAAAAATCTTAAATATATAGGAAGTTTTGTATCCATACATTAAAATAAATGTGTTTTTATTATATTTTTAATAAATCAAATTAGAGTAAAGATTACTACATTAAATAATAAAACATAATCCATCTAATTGAACTTAAAGGTTTACTTTCTCATGTTGTGTTATTTCCGAGTGTTATTTCCAAGACAGAGCTATGTCCATTAGTGTTTTTGAAATGATAGTTTTTAAAAAAATATATTGATTTTTATTTTAAAGTGATGATATTTCCCAAATAATTTCTCTGATATTTAATATAAGTAAATTTGAAAACAAATTATACTAAATTATAAATAGCGTTTTATAATATCAATAAATAATTAATATTATTTTTAGTTTTTTAAATTTATTTTCTCTTAAATGAAGGACAAATTTATAAAATATTTCCTATTTTTTTCTCTTTTTTATCTAAAGTGATTACTTTTTTTAATATAAATAAAAATATTAAAAATAATTTATAATAAAAAAACTGAGGTACAACTCACAATAGATATTTCTTTTTCATATTTTTGTTTGATTTAAATTATTTGTGTGTTTAGAATAATAATGTGATATTTATTAATTTTTTCTATTAACTTATCTTTATTTATTATATTTTAAATTCTATAATTATTCAACTACCTATTATTTTAGCAAAGGACATTCGTTTTATGATTGAAACTAAAAAAATAGCTATGGTAATACGGTAGTAGTAAATATGAAGAAAATTTTCAAAAAAACTTATGACTATTGGTCTTAATATTGCATTTAACTTAACAATACTTGGTATTTACAAAAAGAGTTACCCTTCAAATAGAATTATTAAAAATAAATAAATAAATAAATGT